CTTCTTGTTTTCACATTAAGGAGCAAATTCTTGGCACCGCGCGGATCTGAGAGGTCCTCTGCACTTTTACACTCCACTTATTTTTTGACTCACCCTTTTCTCTCTCTCTCTCTTCCTCTAACACGCTGGATGTTTGTTGTTTTGCTCATCTCTCCGTGATTCACAACACTGACGTAAACTTATACGCGTAATATGGGTTGCATAACGGGTGACATATTTCACCGTTATTTCTTGTTTTGACAACTCCCCAGCGACCAAAGCCAACTTTATTTCCACCAATTCCATTTTACTCTTTTTTAACGTTTCCACGTTAACATATCTGCATTATTTTTTTTTCTAAACTAAATTGAATAGAAACGCACACTAAATAATAATAAAAAAAAAACGAGTTTGAAGTTCAAAAACAACGGAACGCAAATAATATGTGAAAAACGAAATGAAAGCATAATAATAATGCAAAATTGCAGCGTCGGTACACGGCGAACAATTAAAATCGATTTATAGGTGGCCGCGGAACAAATGCATGTACAAAAACAAAACAAAATCCAACTCTCTCTCGCTGAACCGAATTGAATGGGGATTTCAACAATATGGTCATCTCGAATTTTATGTTTTTTTTTTTTGGTTCATGAGTGCAATTGAGTTTCTGAAAAAAAAGAAGAAAAATCATTAACAAAAAAAATAGAACTGTTTCTGCTTTCTATTCTTGTGCGCGTTTTATTATGCTAGGAGAATAGCAAATAAAAAAAAAAGAATGTGTATCGCCGAAGAGATTTGTACGTATTATTGATGTTGGAGCCCATTAAGTTTTTAGTTGCCTCCGGTTATTAATAGAAGCGCGGAGCCAATTAAGTTAAATGCGTCTGCGAAACGCAAATGAATAGGAGAAGAAAGGAGCAGCAGCGGCAGCAGCAATAGCGGCTGAAACAACTGAAACAAAGAAAACAAAATAATAAATGCCTAGCACACGCGGATAGAAGACGAAATGAAAAATGGAAAGACAAAGCGAGCGTGCAAAAAAAAAGAGATAGGCGGCTCAGACGATGTAAAAAGAAAGAGGTCGTAATGATGATTAATTGCTTAAAAAAACGTTCGCAAAATTATTATTATTATTATATTATTTATGAGATCGAACGTTTCCACTATTGACCCGACATCTGCTGCTTCGAAGCATCATTTATATGACAGCTGTCACTTTTGACGTTTCAGTTCATTAATTAAATTAGTTACATGATGCTGTTGTTTTTAGATTACATTTTTCGCTGCTTTGATTTAATTATTATCAATTAAGATTGAGACTTGAAATCACATAATTACATACTCAACTTGTTGTAAGTCATATTTTTTCTTATACGAGCTTTGACAATTGAATTGAATTTTCTTTACTGAATTGACAGCTGTCAATTTTGACGTTTCAGTTCATTAATTAAATTAGTTACATGATGCTGTTGTTTTTAGATTACATTTTTCGCTGCTTTGATTTAATTATTATCAATTAAGATTGAGACTTTAAATCATATAATTGTTACATACAGAAATTGTTGTAAGTCATATTTTTTCTTATACGAGCTTTGACAATTGAATTCAATTTACTTTACTGAATTGACAGCTGTCAATTTTTTGACAATTCATTCAAACAATCGTTATGTCACTTTTGACGTTTTGCAATTGCTGAACGTATTTTGTCGGAGCCTTTGGCGGCGGTGGCGGTGGCTTTTCGGTGAAGACAGACGAAAGGCTCAAAGGTCGTGCGCGCTCGACAGCCTAATTACAAAGTTTGCTCTTTAGCGGCGAATTAAATTTCATACCGCTCATTACCGAAACTCGCATACACACACATCGAAGCAATTTCCGCCGTTGCGTCGCGGAAAAATTAAACATCATCACGTATTTTCATTTAGGTTAGGTGAAAAAAACATGAAACCGTCGGATGAGATATAATAAAAACAACAACAACAACAAGAGAGGGCGCTGATTACTTTCTGGAAGTTACCGTTGTACGGGACATCAAACAAACGTCCTAATTACAAGTTATTAAATTAAAACCGTTTGATATTCGCTTTGAAAAAAAGAGAAAAAAAATAATAGTAAGCCTGGTTGCCTGAAGTTATGGTAAATCCGCTAGAGGTCGCTTCAGTATTTTCGATATAAACCGAACTTTCAAAGTTAATCATGTTTTTTCTTTTTACTTCTATAGCAAAATGTGAAGATTCAAATTTATGAAATAAGTATTTTAATGTTAAATAAACATTTTTTGCTGAATGTCAAGATTAAGTTGTTCGTAATGAAAGACGAATTTATGATAAATGACCGAGTTTGAATCACACATGTGCTGCTTTCTTTCGTTCATTACGCGTTTGCGATCTATTTCGGTGATCGCGTCTCCTTTTATTTCTGTTTCCTTTCTTCATATTATATATTCGTCGTTTTGCATCACCACAATTACTCAACGCGAATGCATCAACCGAAACGCGCGCGTTATTCCATATGACATTTCCGTCCAAAAATATTTCGAATTCCATCGCGAGATCTTCAATTTTTTTCTTCTATTCTTCTTCTCTTGTTCTTTTCACACATTTGTGCCTTGTTTTCTCTCTTTCGTTTCCACACTTGATCCAAACATTCACGCGATTTCGTAGGCGCAAATGCGTCCGCGTGTCGATTCACTTCCTTTACGTCATCGCGTTTTTCTTGAATGGACGAAACCGCCTAAAAATAGTCTCCGACCCGCACGTCTCTCTATTTATCTTCGTTTCAATCAATCCACCCGACGAATGTTTGCGTTTCGAATTGTTGTCCGATTTCGCTTTCTCTCTAATCCACCTATTTTTAACACAATCTATTGCAGCGACATCTATCCTCATTCTCTACTCACTATTTGACACATCCGTCAATCAACGATGTATAAACGAAAGTTGCATACCAATTAACACTGCCTATTGCAGCGACATCTACAGTGAAAAATATAGAACTAACAATAGCCCTTGACAGCTCTGTCAAAATTAACCTATTAAAATTATTGCAGCTGTCAAATTTGACAGATCTGTCAAATATTTAAACGAAAGTGCGATTATGGTCGATTCGCTTTCATTTAAGTTTAACGAACGAGAGAATCCGATGTGATTCCATCAAGGAGGAAAGCAGCTTTGCAAAATGCTCGGGCAATAAATACTCCTTCCTTCGCCGCATTATATCATACACGTTTCACTCCAACCCCGCCGCACTTTTCCATTTAGTTTTCTCTCTCTCGCTCTTCTTTTTTGTTGCCTTTTTCATCCCTTTTCCACCGCGTGTTTCTATTCCGTCGAATTCGTTGCATTTAACGTAAGCCGCTTACGTCCTCTTTCACGATCCACCATCCCTGGATACACAACCAACTTCCATCATTTCCGCCCGGAAACGGAACGACAATATCCCATTTTTTTGTTGTTTTCGCTGAGAATATTACGATTCGAGCGCCATCTGTTCTGTAATGGAATAAAACAATTTTATTAAATTTTCGTTACAATCCTGTTTATTTATTCTTCACAATTACCATTACATTTCTAACAAAAATAACCTAACTATTCAAATCTACAACTACGCCATCTGCTGTACTTATTATTATTAAAATGAATTACATTGATTTTGTTTTAATAAATAATTGCGTTGCGTGTATTTGGTTGCAGACGTAAACAGCATTACGCGAAATGTAAATTTCGTTATGAGGTTACCCCCGGCAACGAGAACAGAAACAAGTGAACCGCAACGGCCTGCTTTATTATTGGTTCAATTTAATGGAATATTAATGAATTGCGGGCATTACCGTTGATAGCAGCGAGCGGCGAGCATCCTTTTATCGGCGCCGCTCCGAAATTAATAATATCATTATCGTTTGCGCGCGTTATTGTTATTATAATTATTACCATTATGATTGTAATGCGCTCACATCGACCTTCCACCCAACCTCTCACGTCCATAATCAATGACCGCCATTACCGTTCCGGCAGCATCGAGATCGACCCACACACACTTCCGGTTTCGCGTCGCATCCGCAACCCAATTAGCTTCGGTGCGCCGCAAAAAAAAAAGGAATCGAAAGAAGAAGACGTACAAGGCTAAGGGATTACGCCAATATATATGATTTCGTCCTTAATCAAATCCACTTTTTTTTTCGGTTCGGGTCAGACCCTTTCTACATTTTTTTTTCTCTCTCTCTTGTGCTGGCCGTTATTCAAAGGGTCGGCCTCGTAACGATAGGACCGGATTAAAGTCCTGTCGTGAGGGTCGTGATGTCCTTTAAAGGTCGCGAAGCTGATATGCATTCATTCGGATTCATTGAATGAGGACGTCCTTCTCGGTAAACGGTTTCTTTTTTCGCCATCAGTTGCGTTCGTCTGGTAGCCTAATGAATGGCGCGCTCTAATCCGCTCCTAATTGGAGGCAAATCTGCTTACATCCGAGCGAGACGGTTGCATAAGTTTGCGAGATGCGAGGGAGAATGATTTACGAGCGAAAGCAATCCCCGAGATTGACGTTTCATCCGCTCCAATTTATCCCAGATGACGATAAATATATATAGTCTTCATGTGTGTGTGTGTGTGTGTGTGTACGTATACGAACAAGAAGAAAAAAAATAGTAGGGGAGAAAAGTAGACCGATATAAGATTGAAGCCGAGTTACGCGCAACGCAACGAAACTGAAGCTATCCGTTTTTTATGGGGGGAAAGGACATTTTATTTTTATTTTTAGACGACGAAAGGATTTTATGTCCCTCGAGGACTCCGAATCCCCGAGGCAAAGAACAGAAGAGAAAAAAAGATATTAACTGGGTCCAAAATACAATATAAAAAGCGATAAATGCAAATTGGAATTCAAAAACGCCATCTATGAATTTCCAGACACAAGATTACATTTTTTTTTTGTGAAAATTTCGTTTTCAGCTAAAAATATCTTGTTTTCCATGATTTAAATAAAAAATTCCAATAATAAAAAATATTGATAGTTTTATTATCTAAATAATAAGCAAACATAAATAGAATAAATACATTGTGTAGAGATACAAATTTTGAGACGCCATCTGTGAGTCGACTTGAAAGTATAAATAACCGTAACCGTGGAGATGATGATGAGAGAGAGATTCAGTTCTTCTTGTAGTAACGGTTGTATTTGTCGATGAAACGGTCCCAATCGAAGGTGTTCTCGCACTTCCATCGGCGGATTTCGACGCCGTTCTCGTAGACGGTGCACCAGGTCCCGGTGCGATCCATGAGGACACCGCTGTGACCGTTGCAGATGCACGGTGGAGGTTGCGGCACGTTACAGGCCATCGTGTGCATCACTCGAACGTTGCGACAATGAAAAGCACCCTCCACCTCGGGGATGGCCTCCACCTTGTACCCGTTCCAGCATCTGCACTTCTTCGCCAAAGAAGCACCGACGAGCAGCGTAAAGACCGCAGTGATAAGCAACGTGCATTTCCTAAAATCAATCAAAAATTGACGTTTTGTTATGAAATAGAGTCAAAATAGAGTTAGTTAGTTAAAAATGATATAAAAATTAAATTAATTGCATAATTAATAAGTAATTTGATACAATTAACTGAAATAATTATGATTTAATTAACCTATAAATTAACCTATAAACAGTGACAGCTGACGGTGTAAACGGACATTTTATTTTTAACGTCAAATTGACCGTGTTAAAAATGTAATTTCATCGTTAATTATTGATTATATAACCGTTTTAATTAATCTAAATATGCCAGAGGGGAAAGGAGAAATTAGTAATTTGTGTTTCTTGAAAATCCAATAGAATCAATCAATTGTAATTGGATAACCTACAAAAAAAAAATCTGTGACAGTTAACATAAATGTCATTGTAATTGATTAACCTAAAAAAAAAACAAATCTATGACAGTTGACGTAAATAATTGATTCTATAATTGAGTGAAACATAAATGATCCTAATTGATTAACCTACAAAAAAAAAATCTGGACAGTTAACATAAATGTCATTGTAATTGATTAACCTAAAAAAAAGCAAATCTATGACAGTTGACGTAAATAATTGATTCTATAATTGACAGTTAACATAAATGTCATTGTAATTGATTAACCTAAAAAAAACAAATCTATGACAGTTGACGTAAATAATTGATTCTATAATTGAGTGAAACATAAATGATTGTAATTGATTAACCCACAAAAAAAAAATCTGGACAGTTAACATAAATGTCATTGTAATTGATTAACCTAAAAAAAACAAATCTATGACAGTTGACGTAAATAATTGATTCTATAATTGAGTGAAACATAAATGATTGTAATTGATTAACCTACAAAAAAAAATATCTGTGACAGTTGACGTAAATGTCTTCTTTTTTTTTTCTATTGAGATTTAGTTAAATTTATTTGTTTATTATATAAGTGTTAGTGAATTAATTAATTGGTGTTGACTTACATTTTGATGTGTAGATTCTTTTCTAGCGCAAAGTTTAAAGATGTAGTGTGTATGTGAAAAGTGTTTGTTTTTTGTTAGGTGTGTGTGTGTGCAATGAACTTGGTTGATTCGCGGTCGTCGTTCTTCTGCAGGAGGTCATATTGTTTGTTGGTTGCAGCAGCAGCAACAGCAGCAGAAGGAGAAACGTATCTACTTCGTGCGCGCTCGTTGTTGGCGATCAAAGAACAAACACGGATTACAGTTATTAAACATTATCTCCACTTAATTTGCATTGTCTCTCTCTCTATTTCTCCATCATCGCCGCTCGGCTTTCTTGACCTGCCGCTCGTACAGCTCGAGCGCCGCCTGATTTCCGCACCTGGTGACCTCCCCGGAGACGACGTCCAGACAACCCATAGACGAATCCTCCATCTCGGCGAAAGCTCCGGTGCAATTGCAAATCGGAGGATTCGAAGAACCGCACGGGATCGTTTGATACGTGACGAACGGATGGACGCAGACCACGGACTCCTGGGGCCCGCGCATCGGTTTCATAGCTTTCGAAGAGCATTCGCAGCTGTCTGCAGTCCAATTGCTGCGCGACTCTCCGAACCGCTCGACGAAACGGACGGCGTACTCCACCAGGTCATCGGCGTTCGTGCAAGGTTGTTCATCGTCGTCGCCGCGCCTGCAGCGCCTCTCGAACGCCGAACCGGCAGCTCCGTGGCCTTCCGGACATTGACACTTCGGCACTTCCGGAAAACCGCACGGCAGAACCGGCTGCACGTTCAACTCGCAATACTCTGAAGAACTTCCATCCTTCGATGAAACGTACAAATCAGAGCATTCGCACATGCACGATCCACCGACGGACAGAAAACCAACCATCGCTAAAAACGAGTAAAACAACTGCATCCTGCAAAAAAAAACAACTATTTTCAGTTAATCTTAATCATGACATATGTCATTTTATATTGACATCTATTATGACAGCTCAAATATAATCAATTTGTTGGTTATACAGAATCTTGACGTTTCATCTGTCAATTTAATTTATGAAACCACGACAAGAAAGAAAGTAGCAAAAAAATAAAAAATATTATATTTAAATAATGTTACAATTTCTTTCTTCTCATCTTTTTCTCGTTTCGGTTTCTCTTCTTGATGTCGTTGTGTCCGATTTCTTTTTGGCGCACAATTGTGACTAATCGTAGCTGACCTAAGTAGGAAAAGTAGGAGGCGGTTTTTCTGTATTTATAAAGAGAACGCTCTTCATTCTCTCTCGCTCTCAATGTTTTGCATCGGTTTTTGTTTGTTTGTTTGTTCGTTTGTTTGTTATTATTATTGCTCTATTATTCTCGTTTTGCGAAGAAAGTTTGCTTAACTCGCCGGAATCGTTTAGACTTTCACAAATTCAATACTACGCGCATTCTAGATGCAATTGACGCAAGAAGAACAACAATTGACGAACGATAAATTTGAATGACTTACGTTTCTATTGTTTGTTGCTGTCGTATCGATGGTTACCAGGGAAATATTTTACGAATCACAACGATCGTTGGTATTTATAGAAGTAAAAAGAAAAACTTACGTGCATGTATTGGATATGCTTAATTGAAGAAATTGATTGGCGTGCGACGAGAGGGAAAGTGGAACGCGAAAATTATTGTCATTTTTATAACCGTTTATGCTTGTGAAACTTTTAGTGCTGCGATTATGAAGAAAGAAGAAATTAAGGACATCAAATTAACTAGTAACATTTATATTATTGCCAAATTAGAGAAAAAAAAATATAAAATAAATTGATTATTAAAAGTGTTTTAATAATTTATAAATAGAATTCATAAAAATTGTAAAATGTCCTATATATTCTTATTTAACGTTAAAAATGCAGTAAATTGTAGTAGTGCCATCTATAAATATGAATTTGAATTTTGTTTGTTTTTGTTATTTTGGAGCGTTTGCTTGGTTGCATACGCGACTCGCGCAAAGTGAAGTAAACAAAAATTCGATACCAACGTTCCAAAATATACATAAAAAAAAAACAAAAAAATAACAAGAGAAGGGCATAGAGTAAATATAATAAATATTTTGCTGCTGCTCCGACTCGTTTTTTGTTTGCTTTTGTTGTTGTTTGTCCCATATAATTTATACGTGCCGTTTTGAATTATCGCTCTGCCGAATTCCGCCAACATTCTATCGAGCCGCAAAAGATGTCGCCATTTTGCAACTCTTTTTTTTATTTGTTTGTTGTTAACTTCAATGCGAAAATTTAACCTAAAAAAACATTGACGTTTGATGCGTCAAAATTTCGAAAGAAAACTTTGACGTCTGACGTTCTTTTAATATTGACATTTATGTGACAGGTAAAATAGTTAATATTGAGGTTATATTAACAAATTGTTAAACGTGAAATAGTGAAATTCTCGACTGGTCTTATTGAAATAGACGAAACAATGGAATCTAATAAACGTAAAACAAATAAACGCGTATTTTAATATAAGGAACATATATAGGAGCTGGCGCTTCCATTGTTCATTTTATTTAATAATTTCCTTTTTGCTGGAAAATGATTCCTTTTTCGCTTTGCGCACGAGATCCGGGGGGTAAATGAATATTGAAATATGCGGAAAGGGACGATATTAAATTTATCGAATACTTTTTTTTAATATCGTCCCTGTATATGTAAATATTTATACCGAATCGTCTGCAACCCACTAATCAGGTAGACGAAGCGGGAAATCGAAATCTTTTTCTCTGTCATTCATGAATCTGTCGCCGCCGAATAAATCTCTCATATATAAATGGCTTCGATTCTGCATCATAATGGATACGGATTGCCACGTCTCAATTTTTTATTCTGCTTCTCTTCGCTTTTCCTCGAAGACCCATAATTTCGCACGTTCGAAATCGTGAAATACGGACGTCGTCTCTCTCAATTCCGCGCTGACATCTCTCCGTAAACGTCAAATCGATTCTTTTGTTCCAATTAAGTAGAGGATCGAGGCACGCGCTGCAACGCGAATATTTGTTTAGGCCCTAAAAGCAAGTGCGGCATTAGTTTAAGCTCTCTCTCTCTCTCTCTCACTCCCAACAATGATTCCCTGTGCATCTTTATCTCCCTTAAGGGCGAATTAATTTTCATCCCCTCGCGCAACTTAACGCAGAAAACCCACTCGACTCTCTCGCATAAAGGGCACTACGGAATTCACCCTCACTCAACCATCGCCGCTCCTCTCTAAAACAGTTTCCCATATGAATTTCTAATATCCTCTGGGTCCTAATCTCTCTCTGGCGCGCGCGCCCCAGCAAATCAAACATTCCACCGGCACCGCCGCTACTTAGGCAACCCAATAAACTGAACAAACATTTTGTCTGTTAATCCTTCGAACGGACTCAGATGGAATTTACCAAATTCCCAAAACTGTTTAACATTTTCTCGCACGCTTACCCCATATATATCGTAACGAGTTATATAAATAGGTTTAATATGAATAAATATCAATTAAACGAAATTTGATTAAAATTTAATTGGTAAATTAGGCAACCCAATTACAATCGCCAATATTACAATAATACGTCAAATTGCATTAATATCAATTATAATCAAACTACATTTGCTTACAATCATTTTTTTTTTCAAATTTCCGGTTTGACCGGAAAACAATGAATTAATCATGATTTAATGAAGATATAAATGATGAACATCTGGTCTGCACATAATCGCGATCGTTTCTTTTCCATTTAGCGCGTAGTCAACAAGTGTTCGCCGCCACCACCGCAGCTTAATGATGGGAGAGGTGCGGGGGTCTTGTCAGAGAGTGTGAGGGATGGGGTTGGAGGGTGAGAGAGAGAGAGAGAACGTTCGGATTTATTGCGCAAACCCCCTGTTAATATTGCGGACAATGTATCATCTTGGCGAAATACTGTTGTTTCCTTCTCTCTCTGTGTGTGTGTGTAGGCGAAATTTACAGCTTGTCACCTCTACGTGATTCCCCTTTTGGAAAGACAAAAAGAAAATAGAACACGACACGGCCCTGATAATGATAACAGACGTTTATTACAACTTTTTGTTGTTCTTTTCTTTTCATCTGTTTTGTTTAATAAACGTATAATCCGCTGGATTTGCGTTGCTGGGGAAACAACGTTTACGTTGCTACGCGAACTTTAATTTCCGTCCTGCCGTTGTTTTCCGGATTTAATGCATCTAGATCTTGTTTTTTTCTTTTCTTTTTAATAAACACCTGACACGTCTTCTCTTTTAAACGCGAGATGCGTTTCCAAGGTAACGGCAAGTATTTTAAATATATATATATATAAGTGTACATAGAAAGACAGAGAGAGAGAGAGGAATATTTAAGAATACATAAAAGAAAAAGGTGAAGGAAACTGAGGGAAGAGAATTTTTATTAAAGACTGTTTCGGCATATCTTGTTGCGATATTAAATTTCCGTCCGTCAAAAAAGATGCGCGCTTCCAGGCGAATTTTCTTAACGAGAAATTATTAAGGGCATCGTTTTAATTCCAAACGCAAATTTCGCATTTCGCCTAAATACTTAAGACTCTCCGTCTCTGAGAAGGCATTTTTTTTTAGACAACTTAATTACTTTAATACTCGATTTCATTAAATTAATGCGGGAACTGAGATTTACGTCACTTCCTGTTTTACCGGTAAAAAAAACCTGCGCATTTGTTAAGAAATAAATTGAAACTGTCAAATTTTTAAGATTTTTAACCTAAATTAAAACCGTCAAATTTTGAAGATTTTTAACCTAAATTAAAACTATCAAAGTTTGAAGATTTTTAACCTAAATTAGAAATGTCAAATTATTAAGATTTTTAACCTAAATTAAAATTGTCATATTTTGAAGATTTTTAACTTTAATTAAAAATGTCAAATTTTTAAGATTTTTAACCTAAATTAAAACCGTCAAATTTTGAAGATATTTAATCTAAATTAAAACTGTCAAATTTTGAAGATTTTTAACCTAAATTAGAAATATCAAATTTTAATGATTTTTAACCTAAATTAAAACTGTCAAATTTTTGAAAGATTTTTAACCTGAATTAGAAATGTCAAATTTTGAAGATTTTTAACCTAAATTAAAACTGTCCAATTTGTTGTTTTGTTTGGGATGGGATATTGGGAGCAAACTGAATCTTAATTAATTAAGGTTTGACCTTTCGGTTTGCCCGGTTGCTCCCGTTTTTCTTTCGGTTAATTTTTTGTTTGTTGGTGCCCGAACTAATTGGGGGGTAGTTCTGGCAACGTTGTATTTAATTATTCTACGTCATGTGGATTTTAGAGCTGCTGCGGAATTGGTTCTGGTGGGTTCTATGGGAACGGAGGGGTGAAGAGGGTGAAAGGAGGTGGTTTTAAAAGGGGGTGGCCTCGTTTCAGAGGCGGCTGGATTTTCGGTGCGTTTCTGAAGGGAGAGAGAACTCATAAAGCACTTCAGTCGACAAGCTTGGCTACCATTTGAATTTACAACAAGCATATTCAGCAGCCGCCTCCTCCTCCTACTTCGTATATATTCGACTAAATCCCCCCTGGAACGGCTCAAAATTTTCCATATATTGAATTATTTCCTCCACCGCAACCGCGCCACCCCCTCAAAACGAACGTACCGCCCTCTATAACAAAAACAGTCGAAGCATTACTCCAGAGAGCTACTTGATTCATACATTTTTTTTTATTACACCGCTTTTGTTTTGCGCCATGAATTGCGTATATATATATACACACACATACATGTACGTTACGCAATCCGCTTTTGCGATTAGCCGCAATTAATTAGTGAAATTTTCGCTGGGAATTACGAGCACTTTTCGCTCTTCGTTTTTCGCGTTTTTCTCCCCCTACAACCCAACCTCCACCCCCCGCACAGTCGCTCGCACTGAAGATTAATTAATTAATTAATTAGCAATCGGGAATGCGCGACAAGCGGCAGGAATTAATTAAGCAAAGCCACAAACGGTTTTCGACGAAGCGAGAGAGGCGGGACGTGATGTGCGCGCTCGGAATGTCAATTAAAGACAACACACACCGCCGCCGCCGCCGCCCCCACACACATACACACACACACAGTTAGTAGACAGATGTCCGCGAGGATTCGGAATCCGGTGTCTCCGCTCACGACAATGGGACTGTTCAGATTTCTAATGATTCGAAGCTTCCGAGATCCGGATTAATTTCGAAATTTTCGTACCGTGTCGCAGGATTCTGATGAGATATAGATCATAATTGACAGAATCTTGTTGAATATAATGACAGACACATCATATTTGACATAACCTAATGACAGATGCGTCACAATTGACGTAAACTTTTTAATGCAACGACAGGTGTCAATTGGTTAGTTTGTTTGAGGTTAATTGAATTATTTCCAGTTTGTCTATGTGTTCTTTTTTTAACATTATTGTTTTTTTTTGTTGTTGTTGCTCTGCGTAAGTGCGGCCAATTAATCATGGGCGTTTTCAGTTCGCGAGGCGGCGGAGTGCGGTTTGGTAATTAATTCGGCGACAGTTTGCAATTATTGCATTGTGTCGGCCTGAATTGTATATGTGTGTGCAGACACACAAGTACACATACACACAGATAGAGGGCGGTAAAATGCCGCCTCCACTTCCGTTTCCGCTTCGGGCGACGCTTAATAGGCCTTTGTTTCTCACCCTCAGTACGCCACTCACTCAATCCTATCTATCCATCTCTTCGTCTCTCCGCTTCTCTAATATTTCTATGTGTACGTATATGCATATATAAATGTGTGTGTGTGTGTGTATAGAATTGCAGACTTTGGAAATGCAGGAAAGATCAATTATTATAAATTGAACAACGGCGAAATTCGAGAACAATAACCGAAGTTCTAATTATCTCCGGCGTCGGAAAAATAAAGCGAATTCGATACGTCAAATTGTTTCTTTTGTTTGCAAGTGACAGATGTCATTTACATGGCAAACTGCACTTCTGGATTAATGAATAAACTTCTTAGCGGTCACTAACTCTAAAATTACTACGATTCTGTCCGAAACACGTGTCGCTTGATTAATTTCCGAACTTTTGCGAATTTGAAAATTGGAAATGTTATTTCTTTCAATTTCACTCAAATTATTTAATTACAAAATGAAATACGTAAATAAACATACAAGTGTTTTGTAAACACGAGCGTAATTATAAAAATTGCTTTTTTTTATGATTCCGTTGTTATTGTTGTATTTTCAAATTTCTAAAAACTTCTAATCATAAACGTAAAATTGTAGATATTAGGTTATAGAAGATACACATATTTTTTTGACGTAATCATAAACGTCAAATTATGATTTTATGTTATAGGTTACAAGTACATTGTGACATAATGAAACGTCAAATTACAGATGTTTAGGTTATTTTGACGTAACAAATCTCAAATTTCGGTAAAAATTAATGTTTATAAATTAGTTTTATTCGTTTATTTATTTATTTTTGTTTGCAATTGAATTTTTTGATCGAATTGCATTTGAGAAATTATTACGTAAATAAAAGAGATAATAATAATTGTGGTTTGATAATTGTGTAACTTTATTACGGAAACATTTACAAGAAGCGCGAACTTAGATTTGATTAAAATTTGAGAACTTCCGTTTCCCAGAATTTGAAAAATGGAAATTTTATTTCTTTCAATTTCACTCAAATTAGTTAACATCTTCGGTATAATTGAATTGAATGCGCGGCATGAATCATCGTTTGAAACATGATGTAAACATTACAAAATGAAATACGTAAATAAATATACAAGTGTTTTGTAAACACGAGCGTATTTATAAAAATTGCTAAAACGATGGTAAATATTGCTATTTTTTTATTATTATTCCGTTGTATTTGTTGTATTTAAAAATTTCTAAAACTAGACAACAAAACAAAATATTTTGATTTATATTATTTTATGATGATTGCAAGTTGACAATTTTTTTTTTTTTTTTTTAAATTTACACACGAATTAATCATTTCTTATTTGAAATGTCAAATTTTCATTTGACGTAATCATAAACGTAAAATTGTAGATGTTAGGTTATAGAGGATACACATATTTTTTTGACGTAATCATAAACGTCAAATTATTATTTTAGGTTATAGGTTACAAGTACATTGTGACTTAATGAAACGTCAAATTATAGATGTTTAAGTTATTTTGACGTAACAAATGTCAAATTTCGGTAAAAATTCTTTTTTGCAATTGCAACATTTTTTGATCGAATTGCATTTGAGAAATTATTACGTAAATAAAAGATATAACAATATTGTGGTTTGATAATTGTGTAACTTTATTACCGAAACATTAACAAGAAGTGTTAATAAACAAAAATCACATTTTTTTTTTTATATATTAAATATTACATTACGAACTTAAATTTGTTTGGGATTCGTTTGATCATTTCCTTGTTCAGAGTGCGTAGGACTTCTCGAATTCAGCGTACTTCACTTTGTAAGCGCTCCATTCGTCCTTGTTCTCGCACGGCCAACGCTTAACTTCTTTGCCGGCCTTCCTCTGGTTGCACCAGGTGCCTTCTGCGTCGCTGAGGATGCCGGTCACGGTGTCTTCGGTGCAGACGCACTTCGGCGCCTCAGGCAAGTTGCACGGTTTCAAGGCCAAGACCATCTTACCCTGACACATGATCTTACCGTCGTTGTCTTGCTTAGCCTCGTAACCTTCCCAGCAGTTGCAATCCTCCAGCTTGGTCACCTTCTGCCCGTAAACGCAGACCAGGAAGGCCAAGCACAAAACAGACTTTACCATTAAACCCCTAGAAAAACAAAAACAAATACGTTACGAAACAATTGATAGATAATAGATAAACAAAACATGTACTTACATTTTTTTTGTTTTGTTCTGCTGTTGTCTGTACACGGACGGATCTAGTTGCTCAGTGTTTAGAAAAAAGACGATCGTCGGCTTATATAACAGTCGGATGTGTATGTATCGGCGGGTTAGAGGTGACCTTAGGTTACCGAATTAACGATAAGCGCATAATTACGAACGCAAACACACTTTCGAATGTGCGGCGCGTTCGTCCCGCTCTCACACCCATACCAATCATTATTATTTGTGAATTCGTAATAACCACGGAGAGAACTGTAGTTTTTTCTTCCTTCTTCTTGTGTTTGTATTCGTCAAAATCAATGTTAACAAGTATGAATTAATTGATGTGCAAATATTATGTAAATCCGAGTTTGCGTCTAATACGTACACTTAGTAGATCTATCCATTATTCCATTAAGTAATCAAACATTGGCGGGTCAAGCGACGTCCATTCATGATGACATCTGTCAACGAACTTGCATTTGTTTGTTTGCATTACGTCAACCAATGTTGGTTGGGGTCACGAGACTCGACGAAATACGACTGATAGTGACAGCTGTCATCGATTAACTAGGTTAAGTTAATCTGACGTTGCTCAATTCGAAAAAATTATCAGCAAATTAGTAACGTAAATATATTACCATAAATTTTACATTTTTTTTTTAAAACTATTGTAAATGTAAAATTGGTATAATTACTGTAAAATATATAATTTAATTTCAATGACAGTTCTTATCAATTTGAAGGTAAATTTATTCTTTTGTTATTTCGAATTATCATCAAATTAGCAATGTAAAAATATTACCATAAATTTTAAATTCAATTTTTTTTTTAATTATTACACTTATTCTATTGGAAAAAATCAGTCGAAAGCTATAAATTATAAGTCTAGACAAAAATGTCGTTTCAAAGAATACTAATTCATTAGAAATATATATTTTCTAAGGATATTTTTCTTGTTTCTGCATAATTCATTAGATCTTTTGATTTATTTCATTTAATTTCGCCGTTACACTAAAATCATCAATTTTTTATTAGATCTATAATCTATCACTAAAAGCGTATTTAGAAAAAATTTCAAAAATTTCAAATTTTCATAGCAAAATTTCAAGTCATAAGACCAAGTGACGTTCCTTGAGGTACACCAAATATGAATCTATTTTTCAATATTCAATGAAATAACTGCAAATGAATATGTTTAGCACATACAAAAATATTTTCACGCACAACCGAAAAAAGAAATTGCGTAAAAAATACACATAATACGTTAATGGAAAAATTCGTATATTGTTTTTAGTTTTTGGGTCAGAGCCAAAACGCGTATCGATTTTTTTTTTTTTGTCCATCCACTGTCCATCAACCCATCACCATTACGTATAGCTTCTCTTGTTTCACATTCGTTTGTTTATTTCGCAGTCGTTCCATATTCCGTTTTTTTTCCCCACTTGTCTCGCATTTCATCTGTAAAAATGTTTGTAATTCCGAAACAGTTTTTTTTTTTTAAATCGAAATTTATTCGGATTGCGTTCTCTTACGGGATTTCGTATTCCTCGTAAGTCTGCATCTACATCGGACGCTGTTGGATTGAAGGTCAAGTGTACGCTGTATACAAAAAAAAACAACAAAATCATAAAAAAAAACAAAACAACAAATCTGATGCTGCTTTGTTACGTCAGATGTCGCTTTTTGACGATCCTGCTGAAGTTAATAACTACGGCAAGCATCGATGGAGAGGAAAACGAACAGAACGATCGGGAACTGCTGAAGCGGAGCGAAAATCGCGAATATTTCCTTTTTGTCGAGCGGAAAATCGACTTCGAGTTTCGATGCGAAACGGATCCATGCACGTTTTGAAATACATCACAGCTGACATCTAAATACGTCAAAGTTTAATTTAATTGTTGCTTTATCAATTGTTGAATACGAAATATCTGTCAACTTTGACAGTTGACTTTTGTATTGACGGTTAGGGTAATGTCAAATTTAGGGATTGACATATGTCACTTTGACAGCACCAAATTAGTAATTTAAATATATTACCATAAATTTTAAAATCACATTTTTTTTTGTTAATTATTGTAAATGTAAAATTGGCATAATTACTGTGAAAATTGAAATATATAATTTAATTTCAATGACAGTTCTTATCAATTTGAAGGTAAATTTATTCTTTTCTTATTTCGAATTATCAACAAATTAGCAATGTAAAAATATTACCATAAATTTAAAATTCATTTTTTTTTTAACTATTATACTTATTCTATTGGAAAAAAAAAACAGTCAAAAGCTATAAATTATAAGTCTAGACAAAAACGGACAATTAAGGATATTTTCTGCATAATTCATCAGGTCTTGTGATTTATTTCATTTGATTTTACCGTTACACAAAAATCATCAACTTTTTATTACATCTGAAAGCATATTGAGAAAAAATATCAAATTATCATAGCAAAATTTCAAATCATAAGACCAAGTGACATTCCTTGAGGTACACCAAATTTGAATCTATTTTTCTACATTCGATGAAATATCCGTTTTTTTCTTATTATTTTTTTTTATAATTAATATAAAATCATTGCAAATGAATATGTTTAGCACATACGTTTCACGTTTCGAAATACATCACAGCTGACAACTAAATACGTCAAAGTTTAATTTAATTGTTGCTTTATCAATTGTTTAATACGAAATATCTGTCAACTTTGCCAGTTGACTTTTGTATTGATGGTTAGGGTAACGTCAAATTTAGGGATTGACATATGTCACTTTGACAGCTGACTTTTGTATTTTTTTTATTAGGACGATGTCAAATGTTGGTTGTCAATTAAATTGAGTACAGTTTTTTTTTTTATTGGTATCGAAGTAAATTTGTCTCTGGGAAATTAATTCGCATCTGTTGTATACATATAATGCTCGCAGTGTATCCGTGTAATGAACAAAAAGCGGACACGTGTGTGCATGTGTTTTGTTTCCGTATTAATGGCATTGTACGGCGTGGAACTGTTCCATTCCAGATTCTGCTAGGATTCCGTTGTTGCTGCTGCCTCTCTATCTGCGTGTTTTATGTCCTGGGGGGGCGGTTAAAATTAGATTACGACCCTTCGACCCCCCCCCTATGGAATGTTTGTGTTTAATTGAACTCGAATATTGAAATGTGTTCTTGTGCTTCCACCACACTGCATCGTCCGGGTCAAAAGTCTACACCTCCCCCCACGTGCTGCCAACTTCAACTCTATTCTAATATACAGACGAAGAGATCCATTAATAATGACACAACACATTAACACATTCTCATAAAAAAAACATTCCTTTAAACTGACAGATCCATTAAATAAAAATGACAGCTGTCAAAATGACATAAGCAGTAAGATCTTTGCATTAACAGTTGGTATCAATTTTGTTACTTTTTCATTACTTTAAATTTAAAAGCGAATTACATCCAAATGTCATCTTTTGTATCCATTCTGTCTGTTACAGTTTTCAAGAAAATCAGTGCCTTAATTTATCATTTTTTCAACTTTGATCGCGAATTACAGCCAAACGGATGGAACCACAACAATATATGAATATTCCCCAAATATACAACTTTCTTTTGGTTCCATCCACACTATTTGGAGTGCAAATTGCGATCCTCTTCGTTTCCTCCTATATTTTTTTTTCCTCTTCACTTCTCTTAGATGAAAGCAAACACTCGGGTCCTTTCGCCGCTCTCTTGTTGCGCCCCCCCCGTTCGAATATGTATGATATATTTTTTTAAAGGGCGATGGGAAAAATAAACAGGGCGAAACAAATGCAATAACAGCGCGTTATTAGATTTCCGTGCCCTTCCTTCCTGCTCGATCCTTCCTTTCCTCTCATATCTACATTTTTTTGCTCCTTCTTCCAATTTCTACCTTTTTTTTTTGTGCACAAGCCCTCCATCTATCGAGTTTTTTTTCATATATATATATATCAAAAATCAACAGATCGTCGGGATTGAGTGAGAGAGAGAGCAAGTTTATTCGAAAACAAACAAACTGCAGCAGCAAACAGCAATCATCTCTTGTTTCCTGGTTCGCCCAATATTATTGACACACACACACGTAATTTGGTTTTGCTTGCTTTTCGGATTATTCAATTATTCTTCAGCAGAAACAAAATGTCTTTAAAAATTTATAAAATTTTCTTTGGAACGTAATTTTTTAACAATTGATTTTCGTTCAAGCACAAATTTGACATATCCTTTTTAAATGACAGCTGTCAATAATTTTCTTTTTTTTTTTTTCTTCTAAATGTCTTTGTTTTCGTTGATTTTCAGGGCGTCCACGAGCTGGGAGTTCGACTGCCGCTGCAGCCGTACACCGGAGGCCATGCGGTCTTCATGTACAGCACCGCAGCCGATGGCAATGTCACTCTTCAGCTCAAGGAACCTGATGACCTGGACAGAGGAAGTCTGGCAGCGATGCTGGCACGTCTTCAGGACGACACCAGCTTCTCCATCTCCTACCAGGACACGGACATCCTCTCCGACGGCAGCATTGACGTCCTCCTCGGAAACAACAACCTTCAGACCACTCCAGGTTAGTGAATCCGACTTCCTTCGCTCCGGTAATCGGGGAACGATGATGTTGATGATGCCTTGTCAGAGAGTGGAGAGATTAGTTGGCGGAACGACGACGCTGTTGCCAGCACAAGTTCGGTCAAAGGATCGCCGTTAATTAAATTACACATTAAACTCCCTCCTTCATCTCTTCACTTCACATCTCTCTCCTTCCGCCGAAGTAGTTTCCTAAGTGATGAAACGAGCGAGCGCAGCGTAACGCTGCAAAAAGGGAATTTATTAAAGTTTCCCTTCGTTACGTGTTATCTTTAGGCACGCATCCGAGATTGGGTATTTAATTTTCGCCTCTCGAATGCCTAATTCACACAGTTGCCATGACGCCGAACATCTTACACCAACTTTGCAACTAACTTTATTAGAAATCTTGCAAGAAATAACGCAGTTGCAGCAATTACAAACATTTGTAATTTTCTATACAAGCTGATCTAACATCAATTTCTGACAGATTCATTAAAATACTATGACAGCTGTCACATATATTGTAGGTTATATCATTCATTACAATGACAATCA